AGTCTTAATTAGGTTCTGATGATCACAGATTTAGCAAATTATACTGAAGTGTTATTAGGTTCAGATGATCCCAGATTTAGAAAATTATACTGCAGTGTTATTAGGTTCTGATTTAGCAATGGTCCCAGATTTAGTAGTACCGCAGTATTATTTGCTTCAGACGGCCCCAGGTTTTGCGCGGCTTTAGCAAGCGTTTTTATATTTAAGGGGCATCCAAAAACGACGTCACGCGTTCTGTTAAGATTTTTAAAAAAAAGTATCTTTATCGGTTCTAATCAATTTATTACCAAACTCTTTAAAATGTGCGACATTGCTCTACCCATATAGTGCCCCCCCCCCCCCGGGTCGAGCTCAGTACAGTAGCCACCCCCTTGCTTCCCCCCCCCCCCCCCCCCACACGGCTTTGCCAAACAGTTTTAATCAATTGGGTTAGTTTTTTTAAGAGACGTGTATGCTTCTTCAACAAAGATAACCTGTTATAAACTCGTTACTATTTTTTGTTTTAAAAAAATCCCTTTCAAATTTTTTTTCTCTCTTCAGCACGGCGCCACTGACTCCAGTCATCAAACGCTAGATGACGTCACGCCATCCCTGCGCCCTGCCAGTAGCCCGGACCAAGAAAACATCGTCCCCAGCTACAGCAGACTCGAAGTGGCAGACCACTGCTGCAGCGAGTCCTGCTGGATCATCGTCAACAACAAGGTTTATGACGTCACGCGATTTCTTAGAATTGTAAGCGGGTTTTTCCATGTTTTTTAAAGTAAAATTAAATTCAATTTTTAAAATAGAACCTCATTGTTAACATGCGTTGTATTGTGTTAGGCATTGAATTAGCCTACTCAACCATAAAAAACAAGACTAGCACACATCTTGGTATCCGAACTTGAGACATTTGGGTTAAAAAGCTCTACCATCAGTGGCGTTAGCGAGGGGGGCGGGGGGGGGGGAAATAAGTCCCCGGGCGCCTACCTTAGGAGGGGGGGGGGGCGCCAAAATGGGTTGGAACAACAAATTGAAAGTTTGAGTGGGGGGGTGCAAATGAAAAGTTCGAGGGGGGGGGGGGGTGTGCAAATCGAAAGTTGTCCCCGGGCGCCGGGAAGGGTCGCTACTCCTCTGTCTACCATGTGACCACTCTGTCCCATAGGGGCAGAAAATGTAGTTACTTCTTAGTTGTTTGATTATTGGCAGTGTTTCTTCCAGACTTTGTATGGGGGGGGGGGGGGGTGGCGGATACTGTTAAAAGTATATATTTTCTAAATAAATTCCATTTAATTAAATCCTCCCCCCCCCCCATTAAGTGATGCCTGGGAAGAAATTAGATAATTATTGCAGATAAATTAAGCTAGTTAACAAGTCAACTATTCATGAAAATATTTTCTCTCTCACTCCCAGCACCCTGGTGGTGATGATATAATTTTAGAATATGCCGGGCATGACGCCACCACCTCCTTCATAGATAAAGGTCACAGCCTTGACGCTTACAGCATGTTGTCTGAGTACTACGTTGGGGAAGTCACTAAGGTGAGTCTAATTAGATAATTAATTTTTGTCATCAGTGGCACCATTGTGGTGCTAGATGCTCCGCAATGAACTTATTCTTAAATGTGTTTGTGAGTTTAAATTAGTATGTGTTTGGTGTTTATTTAATTGGAGGAAGTCAAGTTAAATTATTTGTTGTAAGATCACCAGAGTAACTATAAAGCATGTCATGCACAGCACAATGACTAACAAAATTAGTTTGTAATTTTCCAAAAAAAATATTTTAAATTAAAAAAAAATTTTTAAATAAATTTCTGAATATAAATCTATAAATATTGTTGTTAAGAATTATTTTACAATTTATTTTCAGTCTGATCAGATCCTAGAGAAAAAAAACTGCACATGAACACATAACAACATACCCACACATCAACACTGTAAAAAAAAACCTGCCTGGTTTTTTGAAGGAAAACAGTTGTTGTTTTACTGGACCAGTTCAATAAAGTCTACAGCCTGCGGAATACAACTGACTTCTGGATCATGATGAAAGACAATTGAGATTTCTATTGCTAGCTGAAAATCATACACATATATATATGAATGGATATATATGTATGTGTATATATATTTTTATCTAAAAACTGTATTTTTGTTGTTGGTTTTTTTTATTTTTAATATTCCAATGTAAAAAAAGAAATTTTTTTAAAAAATTAATTTAATTGCACCAACTGTTTGGTGTTATGAAATGATGTGCCTTTTAAAGCCTTTCAGTAGTTTCAAATGTTGATGTAATTTTGGGCTATTCTATGTGGCCCCAAAACATTGTTTTATATTGTCAAGCTGTGCTAAAAGAATACTGCACAATAATTTATATTCCAGGCTGCTTTCATTATTTTTTAAAACAGGTATATTTATAATAATTATCAAAATTTTGAGGTGGTTATAGCTGTAAGTTTGATTGTTGATCTCAGATTAGTTTTAAATTCTTATTTGTTATATGCAATGTGTACAGAATGTATTATAAATCAAGTTGACTTGTTTTTTTGTTTAACTTTTTTTTAAATATTATTTTTTAAAAGCTGATGGTACAGTGTTAAAATGTTTAATATGTATTTTGCTAATTATCTACAAGTGTTCATAGTTTTGCCTGCTTTGGTTGTGAATGTTAAAAATACATTTTTACACATGTTTTGAAAACGTTGTATTGTTTGTTACTTGCAAATAAACATTAAAATAAAAGTTCTTTCCGCCTATTTTTCTTTTATTATTCAAAGTTTTAATATTTTATTAGAAGAAACGTTACAATGCGGAAAAAAAAACAATTGCAAATTCACTTCTTTGTCAGATGAAAACAAGGGAAATAATTATGCTTTTAATGTGTTTAGAATGCTAAAATAAATTTATCTTAAATCTAAGATGCCTGAAACGTGGAAAATACGAGCTATTTAATATATATTTTTAATTTCTAGTTCCACCGCTTTGAAAATATAGTATAAATGATTACTATTTTTGTTTTATTAAAACTACGGATTAAAAGATTAAGTGGTCTCCCCTATCACCGAAGGAAAATATCTTTTAGCCACATTTTAATTTTAGTAATCATTACTCTTACCATTATTTATTTAAATTATTATTTACCCCAGACATGTTTTACAAAGGTTTTACAAACACGCCTTTTTGTAAATTAAATTTTACTATGAACCCACTCCCAACACGTAGAGGAATCCAATGTAAAAATTCTGTAAGATTTTGTAACATCATGTTAGAGAAATTCTGTTATAGAATAGATAGCGGATGGTGATCATTGCCTGCTTGTGGTTGGTGGAAGTAGATGGCTGACTCTGAGAGTTGTTGATATGGAGAGAGGCTGTCAGGAAGAGTGGTTGCTAAGGAGAGTGGCTGCCATAGGTGTGGTTTCTAAGGAGAGAAGTAGCTAGAGAAAAATTGATGGTAAATGAGAGAGACTGTCAGGGAGAGGGGTTGCTAAGGAGAGGGGTGTCCAGGGAGAATGGAGAGTAGTTGCTAAGGAAAGAGGCTTCAGGGAGAGTGGTTGCTAAGGAGATGTGTTAGGGAAAGTGGTTGCTATGGAGAGTGGTTGCTAAGGAGAGAGACTGCCAGGGAGTGTGGCTGCCCCTGCTGGAGGCTACACGTAGATGGACTCCAAACTTTCCACAAACAAATTAATGATATCAAAATATGTGAGGCTAATACCATCCCCCCACACCCAAACACACACATTTACAGTAATAATGTTATTAATTGTATTTCATCAAACTAAACAGCTAAACCGTCCAGTGTATGAATGTAAACAAGTTGACTACACCACCATAAAACATGAACGTTAAAACAAAAACAAAAAAAAAAATCACCTGAAGCCTGACGGATATGATAATCTGCATAATAATTTATTAAACGATATTTTAATTAGACAATAAGACACAACAAAAGTAAATTAGCACGAAGGCATAGAGCAAACATTGCAACCATCTGCCCAGGTGGTATTTTAGGACGCGTGCCAACGGGGGATTTGTTTTTGTTCATACATGTTACCAGTGTGGGGCCAACTCATTCACAAGTACACACTGAAAGGTTAAATTAACACAACAACGGATGGAATCGATTACACGTCGACATATGAAAATCAACATATGAAATCGATTTCTAGTCAGAACATTAAATTAACACATCAACACATAAAATCGATTACTCATCCGAACATACTTAAATTAACACAATTACAGATGAAATCGATTACTAATCAGAACATATCAAATCAATATAACAACACAGGAAATCAATTACTGATCAGAACATTTAATTAACACATGAAATCGATTACTCACAAGAACATATTAAATTTATACCACAACACATGAAATTGATTACTCTCCAGAACATTAAATTTATACCACAACACATGAAATTGATTACTCTACAGAACATTTAATTTATACTACAACATATGAAATTGATTACTCTCCATAACATTAAATTTATACCACAACACATGAAATATAGTCCTACATTCGAGCGTTAGGCTGTGATTCATCTAGATTCGATGGCACTGTGTATTTATCCTCTACTTTGAGACCTCCCCCAACCCCAACCCCCACCAAACACACACACACACACACACACACACACACACACACACATACACAAACGCATCTGTAAAAAAATCATCACAAACATCGTCATGTGTGAATGACGTTCACATGTAATGCCCTGACTTCACACAAATGTAAACGCCCTTTTCTCCTGCATAGACACTGGTCAAAAAATTACACAACAATTGATACATTAGCTTTACATACTATATAATACACTATCTGACAGTTTTTAACTTTACACGACAATGTATACGTTAGCTATACACATTATCTACTACACTTAACTACACTATCTTTATACTATAGCTATACACATTATCTAATACAATATCTTTGGACAGTAGCTTTACACACTGTCTAATTCACTATCTTTATACATTAGCTTAACATACTATCTAATACACTATCTGACAATTTTTAACTTTACGCGACAATTTATCCATAAACTATACACATTATCTAATGCACTATCTTCATGCAGTAACTTTACACTATCTAATTTACTATCTTTACGCATTAGCTTTACACACTAATACACTACCTTACAACGGTAAACACAATAAACAGCTATTGATACAGTAGCTATAGACATTATCTTATACAATATCTAACAATGATTAACCCCTTATACAAACATGTATCTATACATCATCATCCTCGCTCACCATGGACAGACACAAATGATAACTGTATTGAGGCTAATACAATTAGTAATAAAACAGATAGTGTTAGTTACCTCACAAGTTAAAGACACTGATGAAAGAAGATTTTGACAGCGATATCTTACTCTGATCAAAACACACACTTTCAACTATTCACATAATTGTTTTTATTTACTAAACAATTTCACGCATATATTCTACCAACACTATCACATCTACTTTTTTTTTAAAATCCACTTTCACACAATCATACACTGTACTGGATTAAAAAAGTGAATGATTATATTTACACAAGAAGAATTGGATAGCTCTTTTATGTGTAGCTATCCTGGGGTACGCACAGCACCGGGTAACACCCATCCTAGTGACGCCATTCCGTTGATACCTATTACACCAATTCCTGTTTTTTTTTCTGCATAGTCATCATCTATTCTAGCCCAATTTAAAAGTCTAATGAGCTATCAAGTATCTAATAGCTCGGGTCAAAAATTTCCATTACTGACTTTTATGTGTTGATCCATGCTTAGCGGTTTGATTAATGGGTGAAAAAATAGGTAATATATCCATCCATTAATATATGCAGAAACATGTTTCAAATAATTACTATTCATAAAGTTGTCTTCATTTTAAAAAATATGTGACATGGTTTAATAAAAACGCGTTTGACCCTAGTATGTCTCTATCAAAGAGCCCATAAAACTACTCCATTTCCCATGAACGTAGTTCCCATTGCCGTTTATATGTATATATAAACCTACAGTGTTTCTATTTAGGACCCTAGTCAGAGGCGTAGCGACCCTTCCCGGCGCGCGGGGACAAACTTTCGATTTGCACCCCCACCCTCAGGATTTCGATTTGCACCCCCCCCCCCCCCATCAAACTTTCGATTTGCAACCCCCCTCAAGCTTTCAATTTATTTTTCCAACCCATTTTGGCGCCCCTGTCCCCCCACCTCACTACGCCTCTGACCCTAGTATAATATACAAATGACCCTAGTATATAATATGAACGCCCCTAGTATGTCTCTATCAACGTCCCCGTAAAACTACTCCATTTCCCATGAACGTAGTTCCCATTGCCGTTTATATGTATATATAATCCTACAGTGTTTCTATTAATGACTCTAGTATAATACATGAATGACCCTAGTATGTCTCTATCAACGTCCCCGTAAAACTACTCCATTTCCCATGAACGTAGTTCCCATTGCCGTAGAAAAGGGCCACCCAGACGTCATCCCCCTCCCTCAGGTTGAGAACCACCGAGTTGGTGCCCGAGCCACGGTTGCCGAACGCCCCCGAGAAGACTCGGCTCACTTCTTGTCCGTTCAGGGTGATCATCGTCTCGATGGTGGTGTTGAACCCGGAGACGATGGTTGCTATGGGGGATAGAGAAGAATAAATGATGGTTGCTATGGGGATGAAGAGGATAAATGATGGTTGCTATGGGGATACAGAGGTATACATGATGGTTGCTATGGGGATAGAGAAGAATAAATGATGGTTGCTATGGAGATAAAGAGGATAATTTATGGTTACTATGGGGATAGAGAAGAATAAATGATGGTTGCTATGGAGATAAAGAGGATAAATGGTGGTAGCTATGTGGATAGAGAAGAATAAATTGTTGCTAAGGGTATAGAGAAGAATAAATGATGGTTGCTATGGAGACAGAGAAGAATAAATGATGGTTGCTATGGGGATAGAGAAGAATAAATGATGGTTGCTATGGGGATGAAGAGGATAAATGATGTTTGCTATGGAGATACAGAGGTATACATGATGGTTGCTATGGGGATAGAGAAGAATAAATGATGGTTGCTATGGAGATAAAGAGGATAATTTATGGTTACTATGGGGATAGAGAAGAATAAATGATGGTTGCTATGGAGATAAAGAGGATAAATGGTGGTAGCTATGTGGATAGAGAAGAATAAATTGTTGCTAAGGGTATAGAGAAGAATAAATGATGGTTGCTATGGAGACAGAGAAGAATAAATGATGGTTGCTATGGGGATAGAGAAGAATAAATGATGGTTGCTATGGGGATGAAGAGGATAAATGATGTTTGCTATGGAGATACAGAGGTATACATGATGGTTGCTATGGGGATAGAGAAGAATAAATGATGGTTGCTATGGAGATAAAGAGGATAATTTATGGTTACTATGGGGATAGAGAAGAATAAATGATGGTTGCTATGGAGATAAAGAGGATAAATTATGGTTGCTATGTGGATAAAGAAGAATAAATTCTTGCTAAGGGCATAGAGAAGAATAAATGGTGTTTACTATAGGAATAGAGAAGAATAAACAATGGTTGCTATGGAGATAGAGAAGAATAAATGATGCTAGATGTTTGAGGATACAGAAAAATAAATGATTGGTAAAAAAAATTCAGTCTAGTCGCCGTGGAGCGGTTGTATGTGGTAGAGGCGGGGGGGGGGGGGGCAGTTTTTCAGAGAAGTACTGAAATATGTAAAGTGCAAATAACGTTGTGATTAAAGTACATTGGCCAACCATTTAAAGCTAAAAATAATAATACAAGCAAGCGTTATTTACGACATGTTTCGATGAACGGCTCATTGTAGATGAGTACCAATGTCAATATTAACATTCATAAACTTCACAGCTGTGAATGCGTGGGTGTGTAGGGGTAAGGGAAGGGAACGGAAAGTGGGGATGGGGGGGGGGGGTCGAAAAAAGTATTTCTTTCAATACGTGTTAAGAAGTGGGCGCTTGACGTTACGTTTATGGGACCAGGTGATTTGTTTACTTCCCATGAGACAATGTAATCCCTTACCTGTGAACAGGTAGACGCCGGACACTGGCACCGTGAAGATGCCACTCCTGGGGTTGTAGGCCCCACCGTTGTTGACCAGCACCTGGGTTAGACGGTAGACTAATTAGATGTACGTCACTACATCATTAGCGTTGTGTTAATTAGAAGTACTTCATTGCATAATCAGCGTTATGGTTAATTAGAAGAACGTCACTACATTATTAGCGTTATGGTTAATTAGAAGAACGTCACTACATCATTAGCGTTACGTTAATTAGAAGTACGGCATTACATCATTAGCGTTATGGTTAATTAGAAGAACGTCACTACATCGATAGTGTTATGGTTAATTAGAAATATATAATAACATCATTAGCGTTTACGATAATTAGAAGTACGTCATTACATAATTAGCGTTACGTTTAATTAGAAGTACGCCACTATATCATTAGCGTTATGGTTAATTGAAAGTATGTCACTACATCATTAGTATTACAGTAAATTAGAAGTGCGTAACTTTATAATTGGCTATGCCTTAGAAGTACGTCTATCATAATTGGCTCTATTCGTAAGCACGTAGAAAATCTGCCATTACAAAACTGATTGAAGTTTCCGTTTGACTATTGGAGTTGTATTAGTCTTCTAGCTGACGTTCTGGCTCTCTTCGACAGGCTAATGAAATATGTTCATGTAAACTTTCGATTTGCACCCCCATCAACCTTTCAATTTATTTTTCCAACCCATTTTGGCGCCCCCTAAGGTCGGCGCCCGGGGACATATGTCCCCCCCCCCGCCTCCTCCCCCCCTCGCTACTGACTTCACCTATTCTACAAACCGTCGGATTTGAAATGCTTTTTAAATGCAATTTAAAATCACATATAATGTTGTTTAGCTGAACTCAGAATTATTTAATGGACGAGGTAATGAATAACGTGCGGACCAGTGTTTCTTCCAGCCCCCCCCTCCCCCCCCCCCCCCTGAAAAGATGCCTGGAAGAAAAACTGGTGCGAACTTACGTCATCAAAGACTATGACGTCAGCATCCTTTAGAAATGGGATGTTCGACGCGGCGTGTGCTGAGAATGAGATGATTTGTTTCTGTTCTTTTAGCTTGGAGCTTCCTGGAGTAAAAAAAATAATGGTATTCATTATTTATGTAGATTTGATTTAAAAATAACATGAAATAAACACATGTGTGACCCTGTCTAAAAACTGTGTTAAGTCTGTGGTATTGGGTCAGCCATTACGTGAAACAGGATGTTCACGTTCATTGGTCAAATATGTGCGCAGTTTTTTTTTTTTTTTTTTTTTTTTTTAGAAAGCAAATCGTTTACATAAAGATCAAGGACGCTTTCTACTTAGTATGAGATCATATAGGAACAAGGCTGAAACATGTTATATTTTTCTTCGGTTAGGTAAGTATTCTGTAGATCCCCCCCCCTCATACACACACCACACCTCTTAGCTTAGGTTGCGTGGCATAACTCTGTCCACACAATCCTATCACATGCAAGGAAATGTAAACCAGCATCACAATCCTGACCGCGACCCTGACCTTTAACGTAACACATCCTAACCATTACAGCGACACCATCAGAAAAAAATCCTCCCACAGTTGTCAAGTATTACCACGCCATCATAAATGCCAACGAAACTCTACTCCCCCCTGCCGTTCAAGTCACCTTATATTCTTAACATCTTTATTATCCATGTATTTGTTTTTTTTAAATAATTAAGCTCGTAACGGGTTCCACTCCCTAGATCAGTGGTTCTTAACATTTTCGGAGGTACGAACCAGTGTTTCTTTCATACTTTTTTTCTCCGGGGAGAGGGGGGGGGGGCACTTGATATTTTAAAGTGGGGTGGGGGGGGGCGGACTCTGTTAAAAGTATATATTTTCTATATAAATTCCATTTCGTTCGGGGGGGGGGCGGTAGACTCTCTTCGGGAGGGCTTCTGACTGGGTGGGCAAAAGTTTATACGTTTCCCTTTATTCCAAAAGTTTCTTCTTTTCAAGTTAGGGGTACCACTGCATGCCCCCCCCCCCCCCAGATATGCCTCTGACCACGAACATCAACCACCCCCCCTCACCTTTCTCCTTGAGCAGACTTTGAACAGCCTCGGTAATGTCCCAGAGCCGGGTCGTCAGGTACGAGTTCTCTTCTTGTAGCTCAGCCATTTTCTTTTCCAGCACTCCCAACCTCTCATCGCAATTGCATGACTGGGGGGGGGGGGGATAAAATATTTTGATTAACATACTGACAAGGGGGGGATATTTGATTAACATACTGGGGGGGGGGTATTTGATTAACATTCGGGGGGTGTGGTAAAATATTTAACATTACACACATCCACTACAAGCAATGACACATCATCATCATCATCATCACTCCTTTATGGCCCCTGGGGAGCAAAGGGCTGCAAAGCAATGACACGGGGGGAGGGTGGGGGGGAATTTGATAAACATACTGACACCATTGGAACGAAAATACGCTGGCAATGTCTGTATTAGACAGGTGTTAAAGCCACATACACGAAGAAGGTGAAGAGGGGATACAGACCTTACATAGACACTTTATGATCACTGGATACCATAAACAACAAGTGAGACAGTGTCAAGAGAGAGTCGAATGACTCAAATCTTAAGTCAACACAAATATTGGGACGCTATAGATTTAAATAGATTCAAGACATCAGGACAGGCAGTTAAAAAAACAACAGAAGACATAAAGACTCACGTCTGAAGTGCCAGAGTCAAGCATCTTGCTGGACTTGTCCGGCCACTGGACGTCCGCGTCATGGGCCTGAAACGGCCGGAAGTCCGGCTCCGGCCAGGTCAGCTGGTTGTCCTGGCTGTACTGGTCTTTGGGGCGGAACTCCTCGCCCCACCCCGCGTCATTACCCGATGACGACACCCGGAAATCTTTGCTCGCTTTGGCGTCCTGAACGTCTGTCGTCTGCCGGACGTCGGGAGTGTAACGACCCCACCAGACTTTTGTCTTATCTGCTGTCTGCGTGAGATCAAGACATTTACATTTTTAATAAAATATCTAAGCCGCCATGTGATATTCATTGTGATATCGAAGTATTCGCATCAGTCTTGTTATAGAATTATACATTGGAAAATATTACAATGAATTAGCCAACAAGAGAAGAATAAATCATCAGATAAAGATAGTGGCTTAGACAAAATTTCAACCAAGGGGGTTCTAGCCCCCAGCACCCCTCCTGCGCACGCCTCTAGATAGAGATAAAATTGATTTATAACTCATATCTACATGGCAAATTATTTGAATTAACTCTTCTCTTTTTTAACCGTGCGTGAATTACATGATTACGAGAGTTTAGTAAACCCAAATGAGTATTAAGTTTAACTCTAGGGGAAGTTAATTATCGCCCAGTGGTCGCAACCCTCACTTGGTCTCGCCCAGTTGTCTGTCGTTCGGTTGACCGCGAGCGAGGCACCTACACATCTACACATTTAAACCCCCCTCCCCCCACCTGTTGTTTTCTATGTAAATGTCTTTAACACTATAAGAAAATCTAAAGGAAAATAAAACGTTGAAAACTTACCACAACATCAGTAGTCAGCACGAATATGAATACAAAGAGTAACCAGTTGTCATTCTTCAGCCCCATTCAATTTATCAAAATTAAAAATTATTTTCCAAATAATTTTTTAAAAATATTTAAAATAATTCACAGATTCCAAATAAATTTTTATGAACAAGTTTAGAGTTTTTTTTATTTTATTTCCTTTGTAGTGACAGCATTTTTATACAGGAATATCGAACCGGAAGTCAAACGTGACCTGCCGGGCCTCGCTGTGAGCTGATATATATTAGTGCTGTGTCGACTCATTGTCTTGCTGTCTTCTGATTGGCCCGGAGATTGGGGACCCCTCACGTGACCTGTCGGGGTCTGAAAGGATTTAGACATGCGGTGGTCAAACACGGGGTAAGTTGTTTGTTTATGTACACAGAGGGGGAGAGCACTGTCGGAGAAAGTAAACACGTCGTCTGGTGTGTTTGTAGGTGTCGTCTGCTGGCTGGATTTCCATGTTAAGACGGGATGATCTGGCCAGGAAAACACAGCACGGCCCAGACCAAATCAGCTTTGGCTGTTGACAGTAGATGGCTCGTTTTTGACCTCAGATACACGCACACGGACACGCACAACCCCACGCACCCAGCCATACACGCACTCATACACACAGATGCCCATACGCACACACGCACATATGCACACACATACACTCAAGCACACATACAGATACGCATACATACATACAGAAACGTACTCACACACGCAAAGATTCACACAGATACACATAAACAATCATATGCAAACACAAACACCTACGCACACACACATACACACACACATACACACACATACACATACACGTATACAGAAACGCACGCACACACGCGCGCTTGACACACACGCACACACTCAGTCAAATACACATACACACATACCGAAACCCTCGCACACACGCATACAAACACTCGCGCGCGCACAAGCACCTACACACAGACTGATACAAATACAAGCTTACAGAACCGCACGCGTACACATACAGATGCACATATAAGCATACAGCAACTCACGCACACACGCATATAAAGACGCGTGCACAAATCCACACACAATACTTAGATACTCTGACTGTAATTAACTCATTTTTAGCCGACCCTGCGTATTTCTCGTGGAATCATCAAACCAAATGTCCGAGATCTCGTTGAATTCTCGCGTTTTGCTTTCTGTTTCCTTTAGAGAATTTCCCCGTGAATGTATACGGCACATCTCCAATCTCTAACCAAATCTCATTATAACTTACTTTTTTTCACATTTATGTGTTGCATTTCTTTCATAATATTAAGTGAAAATTCGAATTTCCAATTCTCTTTATGGGAGATAGTGTTTAATCTTTCAGGCATCTCTTCGTCGCTTAAAAGGCGTCCCTGTCTTGTCCCCCAAAGTGTGTATCGTTATATCTAGGACACCCCCCCTCCCATCACCCCTACTACTTTCAATATTTTATTGGTTTATTTCATAAATGAGTTACTTAGCTGAGATGATATGTAAGTGCATTGTGTAGAGAGTTACAAGATATTGTAGCAATTGGGCAGATTTAGAGTTCATATGTTTCTTGACCTCGGCATATGAAGGGATAGTGTCAACACTATGCAAAGCCGCCTTTACTTTCCGTAACGAGAGTAAGGTACCCATCAGAACTGGGTGGAGTCAGTCACATTCTACTGACTTGAACCCGGATTCGAACTCGAGACTTTCGCGTTAGCAATTTAGCACTCTACCGCTATGTGATCAATTGGTAGGGGGTGTAGCCTTTTCACTTCGATACATTTAAAAAGGAAATTACTTGCAAAGAATACTGGCGTTTGATTTGATCTTAGGACTCCACACTTCTCACGACAACACAACAATCAAAGAATAAATGATGAAATCCATCGTGAAACAAAGAACAATATTTAATTTGAACGAGGAATAAATCGACATAAACATTCGCTGCTTGAACACAAAAATAAACATACGATCGTTGTTAGGAGACAGCTATCAAACAAAAATGCCTGTTGCTAGGAAAATTTAATATAAAACAGACAATAAATATTTAGTAGTCCAGTTTTTCACATATATCTGTTTCTTTTTTTTTTTGGGTGGTCACTTTTAGGGTGTACACTTAGTTTGGATTGGAAGAGATGAAAACTAGTTGAAATAAACTTGAAAGCTTAAAAAAATTAGACATAGGCACCATTACATGCAGAGTTTCTTTCAGGCAACTCTTCAGGGGAGGGGAGGTGTGTTGCCCACAGAAGTCTACGGTACCACCCCCCCCCCCCCCCCCGGCAATCTCCTTGGAAAATTTACTCCGTTCCAGACGACAGTTTCAAATGCTTACCTCCCTTCTTCCCCCCCCCCCCCCCCCCCGCCGTCTTAGAAAAATATCTGAAACAAACACCGATTACATGATCTTGGATGCCAATCATTGATTCTTCCAGACGTTTTTTCTCCGGGAGGAGGGGGGGGGGGAGCGGACACTGGTAAAAGTATATATTTTCTATGTAAATTCTATTTCGTGGGGGGGGGGGGGGAAGGGGGGAACGACGACGACGGTAGACGTTTTTTCGTGTGGGGGGGGGGGGGGGGGAAGAGAGAAGAAACTGATGCCAATACACAAGGCATTACAAGAGATTCCGGTAAACGATGTAAGACCAAACGGAAGTCGATTTCGTGCCAAGACATCATAAGTTGGGTTAAAATATTGGAACTAGCTGTAGTAAATAAGATAATCAGGATTGATTATTGATATACAGGGATAGGAAAGTCATTGACAAATATCAATATTAGCAAAGTCAGTTTAATGTTACTTGATTAACTATTGATGACCCATTATTATTTATTTGTAAAAATTGAACTGGTATACGTGCATTGGGAGTGTCTTGGGAGTTTCATGTTTCGTTTTGTTTTACATCCTCACCGGTAAAATTAAATTGACCTTTGAACTTATTTCAACGAGAAAAGATAAACATAAAGACTGGATCCGTGGCGTGACGAAATTAAATGTCACCATAGAGTGGGCACACTTTCATCAACCTGAATTTTAAATTAGAGGTTACGGACTGCCGTGGCCAGTGTTTCTTCCAGACTTTTTTCTCCGGGGGGGCACTTGAAATCTTCGGGGGGGCGGTAAACTTTCTTCGGGGGGGCGGACACTGTTAAAAGTATATATTTTCTATATAAATTATATAAATTTCATTTCGTTCGGGGGGGCGGTAAAAATTTTTCGGGGGGGCAAAGCCCCCCCGAAGAGATGCCTGGAAGAAACTCTGGCCGTGGCGTAGGCAGGACTTGGTTGATGTTAAGGGGTGGTTGAGGGGGGGGGGGGGGATTTTGTTAAAGATTTTAAGAACGTAAAATTGTGGTTTATTGAAATTTAAAATTTTGAAGCCTGGAGCTTTGTAAGCAAAAAAGGTAATCAATCGGTAATCGATGTAACTTAATTTGAGATATATGTCATTTGTGGGGTCCAGGTTGGGGGCAGGGGGGTGTATTCTAACATTTGCCACCCCTGCTTATGCCACTGATGGAAAGCAGAGGCGTAGAGACCCCTCCCGGCGCCCGGGGGACACACTTTCAATTTAGCGTCCCCCCCCCCAATATTTGTTATGTTTATAATTCAAACTGCATCTAAAATGAGCTTTTAATTTTTTCCAACACATTTTGGCGCCCCTAGGGTCGGCGCCCGGGGACATATGTACCCCCCTCGCAACGCCATTGATGGAAATTTACCATGTTTACGCATCATCGTCCAGAGGCGTAGCGATAGGGAGGGGCAGGGTGTACATATGTCCCCGGGCGCCGACCTTAGGGGCGCCAAAATGGGTTGTAAAAACAAATTAAAATGTCATTTTAGCTGCATTTTTGCATTATAAATAGTTTGAGGGGGGGGGGGTGCAAATCAAAAGTTTGAGGGGGGGGGGAGGTGCAAATTGGAAATTTGCTCCGAAGGGGGCGCCAATTTGAAAGGTTTGTCCCCAGGCGCGGGAAGGGTCGCTAAGCCTCTGTCATCGTCCACTCCCTAATACAAATAATAAAAATAATAATAATAACGCCCTTGATTTAAAGCAAAGTAGTTGAACACATTTAGGATACATGTTTTATACAAGTCATTTAAATTTCTGTGATTGGTTTTTTTTTTTTCTCTGGCTAACTGTTGCCAGGGGCGGCGCCACGCTGGGCTTCATCCCATTCAGTCCCAGGTCGGCGCCCAGCCTGACCGCAGCCCGTCTGGTGCCAACGTTTACACCTCTGACGGTCTTAGAAGGGCGCCGGAGAAGGTGCTGTAATAGCCGTGCACGTGGTTCCCGCCTTGGTACAGCAGGCGGACCCAGACAGCGTCGCTACTGCGCAGGTCCACCACGGCGGCGTTACTTCCGCTTCCGTGCGCGTCGTGGGCGCCGGAGAGATCCGGGCAACTTCCTTGTCGTTGACGATGATGGCCGTCTCTACCTGAGATGTTTGGACACACAAAAAAGTAATTAAATTATAAATACAATTACAATTTTTATGCGATGTATTAATTGAAGTGAATATGGTAACAAAGGTAAAAAAAAATGAAGATTCCTGTTTAGACCCTAGCGATCCATTGGGCAGACGAAGTAGAGTTCAAATGATTCTTGACCTCGGCATCTTAGGCGTATTGTTTGGTAAGCACAATGCCCAGACACCTTTACTGTTACCAACTTAAGTCAGGTACACATTAGAGCTGAGTGGACTCAGGGACGCCCTAGTGTCATATTCCCGAATCCAAATCCGAACTCGAGACCTTCTGACTAGCAGCAAGGACGCTCTACCATTTGACCACGCCATCCCTCTATGGAACAATGTAAAGTTTCCCTTTCAAACCTGACGGTCTATGGGGCAAGTGAAGAAGAGTTCACCCGTTTCTGTAGCCTCGGCATATGAAAGGATAGTGTGGTCAGCACTATGCCCAGCCGCCTTTACTTTCCCTAAGGCGAGTTGGGTACCCATCAGAGCTGGGTGGATTCGGGATCGTCTACCAACTTGAACTCGATTTGAACTATGGCAACAAGCCAAACTAATAATTATAACAATAATAACATTTTAGTTTCACCATACCAGGCCTACAATACTCA